GTGTGAGAAAAAAAAATAGTGAAATGATGTGGGGGCAAAATGCCAAGTTGCATCAAATGATCCTTTGGTTTTAAACCATTTTAATACACGTTTTGAGCCTATTATATCCATTTCTTTTATGACCCCTCACCTTGACCTATATTACAACCTTAAAAAGTCTATTTGAATCAAGTGTGAATGCTCAAATTGAATAATTATATATTAGGCAAAGATAACTCATGATGAAATAATGGAATCATGCTACATTGCTCTAAAGTTTGATGTGTGAAAGATATCAACAATAGATGAAAAATGAGAAAAAAAAAGATGATGAAAAAAAAATAAAAATAGAGGAAAAAAAAAGAAAGAAAGAAAAAAAATGAGAAAATGAAAAAAAAAGATTCAAATTGAAAACCTGAAAGGGTGATCTAGGTCAAATGATTTACATGGATGAAAGATTAAAGACATCTAAAGATCTCTCAAAGACTGGGACAAAGTTTGCCAAGCCTAAGATAACTTCAACAGTAAATGGAATGAGTTTTTGAAAAGAATCCTAGATTAATGTTGAGAATTGTCTGAATATTCATCATTTGAACATACCATTCATCCCAATGACATGTATCCAATTTATTTCCTTTCCTATTTATTTTGTACCAAAATAGATCTTCATTGATTATCTTTATTATAATTCACCTTGTGTTCTTTTATTGTTACACCCTTAGAATGAATTAAAAAAATGCTTAATTACATTGTATTTGTCAAGAATTAAAATGATAATGAATGAATGAATATATGCTTAAAAGAGTCTTGCATTCATTTGAAAAGAAATCTAAGATGATGGTGGTAACAAAATGAAGAAATGATAGAAACCTAAAAGAGATGATTTGAAAGGATACATGATGTGACCAAATGAAGAATATGATGATGGATTGGACATTAAAATGAAGATGAGGCAAATCTTGAAAAGTGGTATAATCAAGTAATGAATATGGGGATGTATGGGTTGATATAACCTATGAGTTATGGTTAAGTGATGAAAATGATATGGAGCAATAGACGAAATTGGTGCTGAGAAGCTTATGAATGATGATCATATGATGAGTACAATGATGAATTGATCGACATGACTTGCAAGTTATGATTGAATGATGAAAATAATCAGTGGATAAAGTTTATTTTGGAATGGTTAGGGTTGAGAAACCTATGAGTGTGACTTAGTTCGGAATGGTTAATGCTAAGATGCCTATGAAAAATGACCCAGTGATGGTAAATGAAACTTGTTCTAAAATTTGTTAGTGCTGAAAGTCCATGAATGGTGGTCAAGTGATGATCGATTAATGAAACTTGTTTCAAAGTATTAAGAAACTGAACAAGGAAAACATACGAAATGGTGGAGTTTTGAGAACCATATTACCATAATTATTTAGAATTTTATGACATAGACGTCTGCATTATATGTATCATGGGGGCATCATTGCTTGAATAGTACATGCACATAATTCGATGAATTAAACTTTGTTTGGACATGCATGGCACTATGAGAATATAGGTTACCGCATTTGCATCATTAAGAAGGCATTTGCATCTTTGGTCATAACATTCATTCATGTAAATTTTTTAGTCACTTAAAAAAAATTATGAATATTTTGATGAGAACTCAAATGAGAATCTTTGAGTTTCAAAATGAGAATCTTTGAGGAGTGAAACCCTAAAGTTCATCAAATGTGAATCTTCGAACAAATTAAAAGTTTTAAACTTTTGGATGTGAATCTTCAAAATACAAAGCTTCAACCTTTTGGATATGAACTTCTAATGTTTTAAATGAGAGCCTTTGAACTTAGATGTGAAACTCTAAGTTTTATTGCATGTGAGCCTTTGAACTCAAATGAAAAGCTTTGAATTGTTGGATGTGAATTTTCAAAATTCAAATGAAAAGCTTTAGATTTTTGGATATGAATTCCAAGTTTGCCAAATGAGAACCTTTGAAAAATCTTGAACTTTTGGATGTGAGCCTTCAAAATTCAAATGAGGATCTTTGATGCGAGTCTTACAAGTTGCAAATGCAAATCTTGAGATCTTGCAAATTTGAACGAAACTGAAATTCTGAGAATTAAATTTTAGTAAATTCTTATGAAGTTGAAAGGTTCTTACGAATCCGAACCTATGAATGTTGAACTCAAATTGTGAATCTTTGAGTTCTCATTACAAAATTTCTTCAATCACGATCTATAACTCTTTTGAACATGATTGTCAAGGAGCAATTTATTTTTCAAAATTGTGGTGCCTCTATTTAGAGGAGCAATTTACTTTCCAAAAGTTGGGGTGCCTCTGTTTAGAGAAGCAATTTACTTTTCAAAGTTATGGTGCCTCTATTTAGAGGAGCAATTTACTTTCCAAAAGTTAAGCCTCTGATTAGAGGAGCCATTTATGTTTCTCAAAGTCATTGAGCCTCTGTTTAGAGGAGCTTTAATCAAAATTTTAACAAGCAAAAACAAAAAAAAACAAAAACAAAAAAAAAGTGTCAAGTTGAGTCTTGAAAGGGTGTCTACGTCTTTGCACAATTCTGCTTTACAGAAAATGTGCAAAGAGGGGCAGCTGTAGACATCTTATTTAGTCCGGACCCAAGCCCATTGGGCTTGGTCCAATAGAATTTGGGTCTAAGCCTATTAGACCTGGTTTAGGATCCAATTAGTTGGTTCGAATGGGCTTTTATTTTTATTTTCATTACTTAATATATATTTATTTATTTTTTATTAATATTTTTATTATTTATCTACTTTTTTTATTTATCTATTTCTTTTATTTATCTAATTATTTTTTTTTGTGTTATCTATTAATATATTTATCTTTTTATTTTGATTAATTTTCGGTTAAGATTAGGATAAAAAAATTGGAATGAATTTGGCCGTGATTTGGGAATTGGCAGAGTTGGGATTGAATTCAAAAATTGAATCCAAATCTCAGAAAGAGTTGGGATTGATCAGAAACTATAAATAGGTGCTAGAAGAACAGAAGAAAACACACAGAAAAAAGACAGACATAGAGAAGAAACAGAAGTTAAAAAAGGGTTTTGGTGTGTTAGAATCTCGAGCCGAGTCTCCGAGCTGTTTTTCTTCTTCAAGGCGAGTCGAGCCGAGCCGCTAAGCCGAGTCGTTCTCAGGTTTTTTTTTCGTTATTTATTTATTTATTATTATTAGATTAGATTTGTTTAATATTATTTATTTTTATCTTTATTTTATTTTTATTTTTATTTTATTTTACTTTTCTTTATTTTTATTTTCACTTTTATTTTATTTTATTATTTTATTTTCTTTAAATAAAATCCAAAAAAAATATTTTTGGGAAAAAGTTGAAAGTATCAATTTTCCTTGAAAATAAACTTTTCAAAAAATATTTTTGAGAAAAAGTTGAAAGTATTAATTTTTCTTAAAAATAAATTTTCAAAAAAAATTTTTGAAGAAAAGTTGAAAGTATCAATTTTCCTCGAAATTAAAGTTTCCAAAAATATTTTGAGAAAAAGTTGAAATATCAATTTTTCCTGCACAAAAGCAGTTATTTTTTTCTTCTTCCTTTTTATTTTCTTTTTAAATAATCCGACGATGGAGTCTCTGCAAAGTAAAACAGTAGTTTTATTGCATACTCTTGAGGTGAGGGGATTTTTTCAATTTTCTGCTAAAAGTATTAGAGTCAATTGAGAATAATTTTCAACAACTAATTATTTGGTAAATTTTTTACGCTTATTGGATAACACAAAATTAAGCTGGTATCATCTTTTGATGGGCGTTGTGAGGGTGCTATAACCTTCCTCACACCTAACCGAACTCCTGAGCTCTGTTCTGATTAATAGACATGAACATATTCTTTTAAGGACCTTTAAACTTAGGTGTTCCCTAAAAAGATAGATTCCTTAGGTGGCAATCGCACATAGATAAAAAAGATTGGTGGCAACTCCTTCAAGCCAATGTCTAGTGATAGATCTCCGGATCTAGACGTTATGACAAATATTATAATATTAATAAATAAATTTATATTAATAAATAATATACTATTAATAAATAAAATTATAATATATTAATAAATAATATAAAGAATAATAAATAGTTTTATTTTAAGCATTTTTAATATTAACATAATATTTTAATATTAAATAGTATTATTAAAATATAATTATTTTTTAATATTAATAATTTTAATAATAAATAATTTCAATATATTTTAATAATAAATAAATTTTAATATTTTAATAATTATATTAATATTATTTGAAAAAAAATAAAATTTTCAAAAAAACAACCAATTAACTCATTCAAATAATAAAAAATATCTTTTAATTCAAAAAATATAAATATTTTTCAAAAATTATTTTTCAAAAATTATTATCTGTAAAATAAATAGAGCCTCACATAAATACAGCAAAATACAATGAATTTTGAAACAGAAAAGACCCTCACCAATGTCGATCCAATGTACAAAAAAAGGACTTAAGTAGTCACAATTCATAACAAGAACTAAATATCATAATTCAAGTATATGTTGACAAAAAGATATGTAACTATATAAAGCTGAAGATTTTTACTGGAAAATTGGACCATGCAACGGAAAATTAATCATCGACTTGACCAAGCTTGTTGCTTAATTACTTGAAATTTTCAAGACTGCATTTTGCTTAAAATCAACACTAAAATGTTAGCACTGCTTGATCTCTCCTATAAAATCGTCAAATTAGCATAACATATAAATTTTGAAATTTGTACATTATAATAAGATATATATAAATTTTATAATAGAGGAAACCCAAAAAAATAAACAATTCGAAAAATTATACTGTTTATTAACTAGTTACGTTTGCATTCTCTAACAAAGTTGTTCAAAAAGCGCGAGAAGCATGGCAATCTGACACAGTAAAACAAATAGTAGTCTCAAGAAACGCCTATACGTTTTCCATACGTCCCATGTTGTGGTCCAAACCATCCAGTAATCCATATCAAGAGTAAGTTAATGAACAAATCTTTCTGGTTGAAAATGCTGCATAAGTTAAAAGCAAACGCAGATTCTATAGATCCTACCGTACCTTGCAAGTTAGAATCCAACAATTGTCAAACAAACAGCTGTAGCTATTCTCCATAGGTAACCTTGTCTGAGGTTTTGTTTTCTTCTGTTTAAATGGTTCCCGACTAAAACTCATATGAATATCAGGTTTTTATATTTATGTATAACAGCATCCAATCAACTGATTGCCTTGGCCCATTCTCCTTCAAATAAGAAAACTGATACATTGTTTTATTGTTTGGCAGACTAGATTTTTCTATGTAAAGGACAATTAAAGAAGGTACCAAAACTCAGAGAAATATGCATTTTCACATTTCCAAATTGGCCAAGAAAGATAAAAAAAAACTCTGGTGAAGAAGAGAACAAGAAAATGTTAATCCAACATAGATTTACTTTCAGCAAAGTGAGAAACTCTTAGTTCCCCCTTCAAATAGTAGTTTGATTATTTACATTTCCCTGAAAAGAAAAGCTTCAGCACTCAAATCAAATAAAAGTTGACATATTAAACAAAGGGGCAAAGCTAAAAAAAATGGGTATATTTCACACAGGATATGCTTGCTGCTTCACCACAACCTTAGTGGCTGAAGCCTGTGTTAAATTAAAAAAGGAAAACCATATCTTGCTTGCAGGTTCATCTGTCCCATCTTCATGGGCCAAAATAGACAAGACAACCATGAAGAGAACTGAACCTAAGAAGATCAAACCATGAACTAAAAATTAGTAAACTTCAAGGCCCTGTCTGGACCCAGACCGAGAAAAAATGACCAACACAGTTACACGAGTAGCACAGATGATTTCCCACCCTGGTCCAACACATGAAGAAACTCAGTTCTGGTTCTTACAATCCTATGAAACACTTCCCTAATCTGCATCTGCAAAGGCAGCAATCCTTCTTCCATTCTCCGGCAAGTCTCCGCTAATTCCGCCACATGTGCAGCCGCTTCCTCCACTTTCTCTGTCTCTCCAGGAAACTGAAAAGAATCCGTAAACTCTATCAGACTCTGTCCGAGTTTCTCCATTTTCTGCATCTCCTCTAACAACCCAGCCATCCCTTTCTTCTCCTTCTTCTTCCACTCATCACCAATTTTCTCTTGTAACCCAATCATGCTATGAGCCCAGCTCAATTGCTTCGGAACTGGAAAATGAGTAGCCAACCCGGTCCTCTCCTGACAAGGTATCGCGGCCACCAATGCCCACATAACAAAAACCATAACCACGCTCATTATATAAACCGGGCAGACCAAACCGGAAGCTTCAGCTCCACGGGGCACAACAAGATTAGTAGCCATGGCCTGAATCTGTTTCGCCGCTGACCAATTCTTGGCCACCTGCCAAGAAAGTAACCTGAAATGTCCCGGGAGTCGATCTTTATTACTACCTCGGCGACCAAACGACCAGCTCCTCTCGGTCGTTTTAGTATTGCTGCCTTCTTTAGCGTCAAGGTTCATTGCTGACATCAACGAATTCAAGGCTTTTTTAGCTCTCCTCGCTTGTCCGTCCCCAACGGGTTTTCGGTCCAAAGCTAAAACAGCAATCTCCGCCACCTTTTGGCAATGTCTAATTGATTCCACCCCGTTGGTAACCGCATTACAAAGGTCTAAAGCCTTCACGGCCCGGTCTAGAAATTCAAGAATAAAGCGATCCACAGGAGGTTTGGAGATCTGAGACGGGTCATCGCCCATCATGAGAATAGCCTTGAATTCGGCTTCACAGCAAAGAAATATATCGAGAAGTTTGCGTAGCCAGGAAATTGAGAGAAGGGCATCAACAGGGACGTCATCCGGAGGAGACAAGAGTTCGGAGAAGCGATCAGAAACGTGCTTTTGGAAGAGCTCTAGGTCTTCAAGTTCTTGGTCGTGGTTACCATCCATGGTGATGACTTGGTTCCGCCTGATGCTGAGTCGCCCCAAGAAGGAGCTTTGGCACTCGGTTGCCGGCATTTCTGTTGGAATATATTCGGGGAACCCGTGGAGAGAAAGGAAAGAAACAAAAAGAGGAGAAAAAAAAAAAAAGGAAACGAAGGCAATGAGAGGAAACGCGAATGGAGAAGGAGTAAAAAGAAGGGGCGAAATTGATGGAAATGGATTGTCGGGGACAAGACCGGTTCATCTTCCTGCCTTAGGACGCTGACTCGGCACTCCGCAGTGTTCTTTATTTTTGTTCCCGATTGTGCCCCCAATGTCGTTATATTTTTCTTTTCAAAGTTTCTTTTTTCTTTATCAATTTAAATCAAACACTCCACCATAATTCCAAAAGCTTCATCTTGAAATTTTTTTAATGAGAAAGATGGAAATTCAACAAGTTTTCAATGTGCAAAATAAGAAGTTACCTTTTTGTTGTTCACTTTTCTCACGAGTTATGACTACATGACTTGCACATGCCAGCTTTAGGTATATCATAACTACTAAATTTTAACAAAAAAAAGTGATAAAAAATTATGATGTCATGAGTAATTTTTAATTATGTGTGAAAATTTTAAAATAAATAAATTAAAAATATTTAAATTCTCATGTTAAAAAATATTTATATCTTTTAATTTATACATTTACTAAGATTTATTATTTAATTTTTTATCAATTCTAAAATTGAATTGGTATCATGAGATTAAATTTAATAAAAAAAATTTTAATAATGTAAATCAACATTAAAATAAAAAAAATAAAACAAACAGAAGTGAAAAATGATGGCAATTTTGTAGTTTTAGATGGAAAAGAAGGGCCAAACTTTGAAGGGAGTTACTGATCCAGTGACAAATGGAGGTTGTTGATCGTAGGGTAGGACGCGTAGTTCTCAGTTCTGATCCAGGTAGACGAAGTCCAAGCCACAGGGAAGGGCCTGGTGTCCAATGTCCAATCTGTGTTGCCCAAAACAGAAAAAAAAAAAAACTAAAAAGGAAATTGGTCCCTTTGAACAGGTCATTCATGAGGGGCCCACTCTTTTTTTCATCTTTGATTCCCTACTACGTATTTGCACGATCGCACTTTCATTTAGCCGCATGATGTTTTGACATTTCTTAATAGTCGCCCACCAACAAGTAGTCGCTGGCCGTCCACCTCATCCTTGTGTACCTATAGTTTACTGTATGAATGATTGATTGATTTTAAGTTTGTGACGTGGTGCCGATTATTTTTTTGAATAGAGCGACGTGTCAGTTTTCGATGTTTTTAAAAATTAAAATTTTTGAAAAAATTTAAATGTGTAATATTTTTTTATATATGTAATAAGATATAATAGTACAAAAAAATTAATGGTAAATTAAAAATTAAAAAAAAAAATTGTAATGTGGTGAGTCCCCAAGAGGGGGAGCTTAGCTGGCAATTTTGCCTGCGTGGATTTTCTCTAAGCAGATGCGGACCGTGGAAATGGCTTGAGGGGTCCTTCCCCCCCCCCCCAACCCAAATTTTAATTTCGTTTAATATTTATGTTCTAATAAAATTGAATGATTCCTTCAAACTAAAATCATTAATTTTATTTATTTTTACATGATTTTATAATTTAATTTTATTTGTTGAAATTAAGATGTATTAAAATCATATTATTTATTTATTTATTTTTTCCATAAATTATTATTTATAAATTTTAAAATTAAAAAATTTATCACAAGGATTAAATCGCAATAATATAAATTTAATTAAAGCTAAATTAATTTTTTAGTTTCTCAAATAAGATTAAAGGTCTCCAATTAAGTATCAAACATATTTTTTTATGCTTTTTTAATTGATTATAATTCCACTTTTTCATATAAATTTTCGCCTTTAGTTTTATTTTAGATCTTTTTCTCTATTATGCAATTTTTTTAACACAAAAGTCAGATTGGCATCACTTAATTTATAAGGTTAAAAAAAATCTTAATTTCTAACCTTAAAATTTCAAATTTTATTATTTTAATTATATAGTTTAGTTTTCTTATTTTGATAAAATATATATATTATTTAACAATTAATTTACTTATACTTTTTTTAAATCACTCGCAATTGTAAGAAAGAATCATAGTTTTAATTAAAATTATTTATTTAATGTATTATGTTTCTTAATATATTGGTTTATAAATCGATAAAACTTATAATTTTGAAAACATGTATATTTTGTTAGTATATTGTTTGCATATATATTAATAATATAATAAAAATATTATATAAAAAATTTATATTTAATATAATATCAATTAGCTCTCTCAAAATTAATTATCAAAATCCTTCATTGTTTCTGTGATTTGATGTATAATGATTTAAGCCAATTATTTTAAATTATATGAGATGTTTGGAGAGTTATGACCATGCCCCGTCCTTTTTATACTATAGTTTTACAAGTATAAGCATTTTTTTTTTTTCACAATGTTAGTGATTTTTTCAAATAAAACCTCATGGAGGCAAAAGTATCAGCCATTTGGCAACTTGTTTTAAATTTTTTTAAGTCATTAGATCCAGCTGTCTTAGCATCATCTTCTATATTGCCATGATGATAAAACTTATATGGAAATTAGAGAGTTATTTTTATTTTTAATCGTGAGATTGATGAATCAATAACTGTGGCAATAAATGAGGAAGTTATCATTGGTAAAACCACAAATTTTATCTCTCCTTGGTCCACTGCTAATGTTAATAAGAAACTTCAATTTAATATTATAAGATATGAGTGACTTATGGTTAATAGATTATGAATTGATTTTCGGCGTGAAAAATGAAATTTAATATGAATTAAAATTAAATTTTAAATCATAAATTTTTGCATTAAATCGAGTTTAAATATAAAAATATATCAATTAAACTCGATTTTATTACATTTTTAATTTAATTCTGTAACTTAAAATTTTGGCTTCGTTACTTAGCGATAAAAGATATCAGTTTTTATTTGTGTTACCCATTTGAGGAGATGGATTAAAGTGTTAAATACGAACTATTTTACTCCTCTGATTTTGTATCAAACACCTTTTTTTTATCAACTCCATCTCCAGCTTTCATAAAATAAAAAAAAAAAAACTTTACCCCCAGCTTTCTGAGCTGGGCTAGAAGCCTAGAATAGGGTGCGGGCTTGGGAAATGAAGGAAATGAGTATTCATTTCACTTAGCCCAACCCAAATTAGGTGCATTGCAGTCCTCGTAGATGCAAGCTATGGATCAGAACGTGAGGCAGGCATGGCAGGTATATTTTCCAACAACATTTCGTGATGTTTCTTGGACCGAATTCTGTAAAAATCCCATTTCCATCTTTACATTTGTAGTTTTATACAGACAGAGAACATTCTTGGCATGCTAAAAAGCACTCTGAAACTGAGGTCATGAGAAGAAGCTAACATCCCCATCTCAGAACAAGTCGGAGTCAGTGGGTCATGGTTGCTTATTCAGAAGACAAGATTTAGACCCAAAAGCCAAGTCTATGAAGTTGATTTTCCTAGAGCCTTTGGGCTAAGTAAATTCTTTGTTTCAAGTGCCAAATTGTGCTAAAAGCCTTTGTTGAATTTTCCACTTTAAGTTTTCTCGCGTCTCCTGTCTCCTGATCCCTAAAGATAGTTTACTCCTGCTTTAAGATCCCGCGGGTGGGGGTGGGGGGGTTTGAAGATTGAATGCATGCCATGGACTTTAAAAGCCCACTTTACACACAGAAAAAAAAATCGAAAATTAATTTAAAATTATAACATGTCATTAGTTTTGAATTAAAATTTTTATTTAATTTATATTAAGTTCAAATATTAAATGTATATATTAGTTTTGAATTAAATTTCAGAATAAAAAATAAAAAATTGAATCAAATTATATATTTTTATTAATTTTTATATCTAATTCTATTTAAGTATATTAAAAATCTTATTAAAATAATATATAAAAATTAAAAAATTAAAAACTTATGAATTGAACCAATAAAATTTAATTTTGATCAAATTAAATCATATAAAAATGCGATTCGAATTCAAATCGAATTTTAAAAATTTATAATTTTATACATTACTAAAAAATTAAATTAAATTTGATCTGATTTGAATCACTATTATTTTTATTTACATATGCTAATTTCTCAACTTTTGTCATGATTATTGCAATCACTTAGTGTCATTGTTTAATGATAAATTTATGATTTTCAAAATAATCTCAAACATAAATAATTTTATTTGAATTGATTTAAAAAAAAATTGTATTGAATGAATTTCATAAATCTTACTTCTAAATATTATTAAAAAAAAAAAAACAGACCCAAAATCTATCAATATAATTCAAACTGCTTTAAACATACGTGGAATTGAAACATGGGCATATCAATTCGATTAAAACTTCTACTTGCTGTATATGAACTATAAAAATATAGATTTGCTTACATCAACTGAAATATTGGTGAATACCCTCTTATCAATTCTTTCTTTAACTGCCAAACCAACATTTTTGAAGTGAGAAAGAGAGAAAAAGGTGAAATACTATTTCAATAAAATGGGTGACCATAGAAGGATTGAGCAGGAAAGGTAAAAACGAGCACCTAAGAAGAAAAAAGGTCCATGAGAAGATTTATGGTGGAGGCAGGGAATGAAGAGGGAAAAATATTAAATATTTATATAGTTTATTGATAAAGTAGATAGATTATTCAAGATTAAAATATTAAAAAGTTTTAATTTTACTAAAATAATTTTCATATTTTTATTGAAATAATTTTTATTTTTTTATTTGAACTAAGTAAATTTCATTTTATAAATTGATTTATATAAGGTTTTATTTAGATATAAATTAAATTATGCTTATTTGTATAAATTAAGTTTAATTTATTTGAATGTTCATTTAGATTATTTGAATAAAAATGTAAAGATTTATTTAAATAAAATGGTAAAATTCAAAATTTCTTTATTATTTTAGCCATTATTCAATTATATTAATGGTGAAGACAAGGTGGGGTTTGTTAAAACCCCATGAGGACCACATTTAAGCAAAATAGCTTATGATAAAGACTTTACATCCATGACTTAAATAACTTAACCAATCATGCTTTAAATGGCAAAGTTCTCATATTTTAAACTTAAAATTTAATTTAGATAATTTATACAATTATTTTAAAAAATAACATTCAATACATCTATCTATGAATCTCAACACTTCAACTTTTTCTTATATTCTCAAATTACTACTTTTGATATAACAAAAATCCCCATAGTTTTCTTTGTTAATCAGTTCTTAAATTCCCAATTTTAGGCCCATTTGCCCTCCTATTACTCCTGCTTAAAGCTAAGTATACCCATTCCCACTTTTCAACCCCCCTCTCCCCCTTCTCCCTTAAAGGTCTTTTTCAAAAATGATTGGTATATTAATTTCAAAGTTTGGCTTGCGATGCATCCAAGCAAAAGTCACTTCCTTTCATTTTTCACATCAAATGTGGTGAGATGATTCACATCAATCAACAGAACCTTGGCTCTCATCCTCTCCAATTCATATCTATAATAATAGTATTAATATATGTTAATGTATATATTTTATCCATTTTCGTATACATGCGTTTATCACACCTTCACTATCATTTTAAGAAATACCCAAGTTTTTATTTTATGTTCTAACTAATCTTGATGTATCCCAAGACGAAAAAACATTTTTTAATCATTGATAGTGTACATTACACTCTGCCCATGATTGAGTATAATACACATTTAGATAATTAATCCCTATAGCACCCTAGTTCCTAGCTATTTTTGTTATTTTCTGTTGTTTTTGGATGACTGAATTTAAGAAACGAAGAACAAGGACACTTTCACGTATCCGAATCTGTCAAGGTATCCCAAAATGATGGCAGATTAATAGGGAATGATTCTCTCCAAATCTAATACTTCAAAGATGTTAAGATGTTTTTCTTTTTACTTAAAACTGTTAGAATTTAAATTTTGATCTTTAAAATTAAAATTTTAATATTTTATTAACAGATTATAGTACTTAACGTCTATTTTCTTGATGATTTTGATATATAGATATTAGGGAAAGCAATTTGATGAAGTGCTGTTAAATTAAATAATTTAGAATATAACTTAGCTAAGCTTGTTAAAAGGACTGATTAACATGGGCTGTAGGAGTAATATTTTTTGATATTAGAATATGTACAAGAAATCTATGTTGGATTTGTGTAATTATAGATTGTTAGGTTTCTATTCCATATGTAGCTCAAATTGGAACATACAATTGAAGAATATAACAAATAAATGTCGTGTTGCTCCAAGAGGACAAAACTTACACATCTTAATGGTGAAAACGTTAGTGAATTATTGTTTGATATCCATGATTGGGTAGGGGAAAAAAAAGGGAAAGTAGATGCAATCCAGCTGATGTTGAATAGGTAAGGACTCGAACAAGCTTCACCTCCTAAACGAGGCATCGGTTACAAAAAGAAAAATAAAGGCATGAAATTAATCAACAAGAGCAAATATAATTAATTTTTACTATAACATATTGAAAAAAATCATAGTGGCTAATGAAAAAATTTATGATTAAATTTTAAGTTTGCCCAAAATGGGATTTGAATTAATTTCGATGGGTCTCATCAAGGAGAGTTGTTGTAAATCATACAACCAATTGGATTGTGTGACATTAACTATGCTTCGTTTTGGCATTCGTCCTAGACAATGAACACTAATATTTTTCTTGTTAATAAAGCAAAAAAAAAAAATCAGAAATTGAGTCAAACAAATTAAGAGAATAGACTGATAATCTAAGTTACGTGATGGGTTTTTTTTTTTTTTTTTTTTTTTTTTCAATTTTCCTTTTAATGGAACAATCAAGTAGAAGCAAAATGATGCAATTTCTTTTTTTGGTCTGAATTTATATGTGACTTTGGAATTCAAGAGTTTTACGTGATGCAACCGTCATCAATATTACTAAAATAATAATAAAAAATCATGTGATAATAAAGAATTAGAAATGAGGTAATGTCTTTATATGTATTATTATCCCATAAGTAAGGATGAAGAAAAATCAAAATGAAGTGATTTCATTTTCATCAGTTCTCCAATTGTCCCCTAACTGAATGAGAGTCTTGTATGACAATCGTTCCCTTCTGTTATAAACTTTGTATTTCCACTTCATCATAAACGGTCTTAATTTGGACTTTTCTCATGTAAAGCTTTGATCAATTTAAACATGTTGATGCAACGGATCAATATTATTAATACAAAAATTATTAAATTGTACTTATTATGAGGTATAGTCTGTTTTGAAAGTTCAGAAGCCTACTTTAATAATCCCACATCTAATAATTACAGATTAGACTGTAATTTTATAAGCAAAAATCACCCAACCTTCTTTTCCAAATTAAGACACCTTTTCTTAAAATAATAAAGTCCTGATGGTAAATTTTCGAACCTCATAAAAATATTCATTGCGGGTGCAGTCCAATAATCTTTATATAAACAAAACCTCTTATTAATACATAATAAATTTAGCTGTAAATTAATGCTCTTTTCTTGAGGAAAGTTTGCATTATTGCATATGCCTTGTAATTCTTGAATTTGCAGAAATCGGATTTTCGAAGTATTAGTAATTAACTATTTAATTTGCATATTCACATAAAAGAAAATGAAATTCTGTTTTTTAGGTAATTATATATATATATATATATATCTAGATTCTAGAATTTATCTGTAAAGAGGTTATTACTTGTCTCCATGAAAGATAAAAAACTACTCCTTGAAAAGGTAGAGAAATATGTATTCTCATTTTACTTGTGAAAAGTTAGAAAAACTTTAAGGATTTAAACAAGGTGAGCACCATGCATATTTGCCAAGAAAGCACCCCTGGCCTCTAAATAGCTTGGTTGCAACTTGCAAATATGGAAGACTGACAAGATTAATAGTAATTTCATCATTTCTGCTTTTTGATAATCAGGTGGAAAAACAAGCATCTCGAAACCCTTATCAAGATCCACAAAAGTGTTGGTTTAATGGTTTGCTGTCACCCCTTTTTTGGTATGGATGAGTTGGTTTGATTTCAATACAATCTCAATAAATTATCCCTTATAAATTATAGTAGTAATGGCTATTATATACCTGTTTGTTAGACATATTTTTTTACGTAAGAGGCCATAACTTTGGATAAGGGAAAGGGTTATAAATGATAAAATTCAAACATTAACCCTATTAAATGCTATTATTTAAAAGTAATTCCATGAATTAAGTTGAGTTTCAAATTTTAATAAACATAATCTTCATCTTTTAGTAAATAATACTTTGCTAAAAAAATTACAAAGCAGTAATTGTCTTCAACCTTAGCAAGATATACATTAAAATTTAAAATTATTAAATATCATTTTAAAAAAAATTATTATTAGAAGCAACTAAATTAAACCTTAAATTCTTAAATATTGTTATATTTCTTTTGCATTAATTTAATGCTTTCCCTTCGGTCTTCACCTCCCTTCCCTCTTCAATTTCTTTTAATAAATAATAAAATTCCTCATCTATGTACTTTCCAATTATTTTTCACATGACGTGTCATCAATCCATTGGTTGTTAAATAATTGATGATAACATTCATTCGGTCAGCGATCTAGAGCTTATATCAGTTGGGTTCACTCAGTCAATTTTAAGAATTGGCATCTAACATATTTAGATTAGAATCTAAATACTTACGACTCTTTTTCTTATTCTCAAGCTGCAGGCTACTTTAATTAAAAGAAAAAAAAGGAAACAACCGGCAGAAAATTTTCAAAGAAAGAATGAAGGGTAAGTGGAACGTGCGTTACGTAATACAAGTCTACGTAGAAAATGGTAAGTTCTGTCCCTCTGTTTTGTGTGAATGGAAGCCGATGAAATGTCTTTTTAGTGTTAGATGAAAAAAATTTGGGTCCCTTTGAAAATGGACACTGTTTCAATGTCGGCATAGCATTTCTTACTTTTAAATGGGGCTGAGAGAGAGCCAAGAATTATAGTTTTTGATTAAAAGAAACCATTACTATCTATAATTTTTTTTCTTCTCTGTACAAAAGATATCAAACAATAAAGAGAAACCAAAAGATAGAAATTAGGGAGGGAGGGGGTGAGGAACGCATTACAAAGAAGAAAGGATATTTATTATCCGAGTAAACATGGGTCACCATTCTTGCTGCAATCAACAAAAGGTTAAGAGAGGCCTTTGGTCCCCTGAGGAAGACGAAAAGCTCATTCGATACATCACCACTCATGGCTATGGATGTTGGAGTGAAGTCCCTGAGAAAGCTGGTCACTGCTCCATCTCTTTTCTGTTCCTTTTTTATATAACTTTTGATAAACATTTTTCTGCATGTTTGTAATTTGATCAAGTCTTTTTTCAGGTCTTCAAAGGTGTGGGAAAAGTTGTCGCTTGAGATGGATTAATTATTTGAGACCTGATATTAGAAGAGGGAGGTTTACTCCTGAGGAAGAGAAGTTGATTATTAGCCTTCATGGGGTTGTAGGCAACAGGTTTAAAGTGACCTTGTCCACGCCTTTTTTTTTTTTACATTAAAGTTCCATAGTGTAATAACAATTCTGGGTTGTGTCTAATGGTGGTGCAGAAGTCAGGTTGCAGTCATTTTTGTCTCTCTGAAATTCCTATGAGTTTCTAGTGATGTGTTGAAAATAAGAACTTGAACAGTTCAAAGATGAAAATCTACTCCTAACTGAAGACTGAAGTCAAGTATTTTATAAAAACAAGTTTTTTTTTTTTAACTTATAATGGCCTGGAAGCAACGATCACTACTGTTTATAGTTGTTAAGGCAGCTGTCACCAGCATTTCAAGGGCGTTAAAAAGGCAGCATCAGATGTTGAAACACAAGTTTTCACTTGGAAATCACATGTTTCAAAATTTTCTCTTCTTAATTTCCCTTCTTCCCTTAAGCAATATTAGTATTATTTCTTTTCTTCGATTGAGTACTTTCTCCCATTTCTACTCCAAGTTAATCAGTAGTATTTCATATTATTAATCCTACATTCTCTTTTCTCGATATTATTCAATTTCTGATATGTCTGAGGGGAATTCTAGATGGGCTCACATTGCAAGCCACTTGCCTGGAAGGACAGACAATGAGATAAAGAACTACTGGAATTCATGGATCAAGAAGAAGATACGAAAGCCTTCAGCACCTCCAACTAACACTGCTCCCAGCACTGAGAATTCCCAGATAAATTATGCTTCAAACCAAGTACTAGAGTTAGTGAATCAGGATTTGATAACAAGGGCAGTACCTACTCAAGAAACCCTATTTTTTTCTCCAGCCCCCTTATTTATGTTTGACACAACTCCACTTGACGGAATTCAAGATGGTAATGTAAGAGGAGGGTTTTTCCTTGAACCAGCTAATTTAAACAGTGAGACTTGGAATCTCAATCAGCATCAAGTGCAAGCATTTCCTCCTTCAACTTCTTTCAAAGTCGGTATGGATACAAATAATTGTTTGCCACCATTGATAGAGAACATGGAAAATATGATGCCTATTGAAGTCCAATCTTGTAGCATGGATGAGGCAGGAGAAATGACACTTGAGTGCTTGCAGAGGCAGCAGCAGGAGTTGAATGAATGGGTTGAATCCCAGAACTGTTCAAACATTCTGTTCTGGGATATTGTTGAGGGACAACTTGGTGGGGAAGCAATACCACCAACTTCATCAAATATGGGAACTGCACTATCATCATTCCCTTCATCTCTATAAATTATTAATGGTGGAGAAAAAAAAAAAAAACCTCTCCATTCTCTCCCCTCCCCCACCTTTGCTTTCTCGAGCATTGATCTACGCTGAGTAGCTTTCAAAATGTTCCAGGCATTTGACAAAAACAGTTTGTTTTTCTTTTCTTTTTTGCTTTTTGTAACTTTATTGATCATGAGCTTGTGAATTGTGAGGGAATGCAACATAATTATGCATGACTTTTTTTTTTCTTCATGATGTTTGGAAACAGAAAAAGGGAAGAATAAAAAGCAATGTAACAGCCAGAAAAGAAAGTTTGAAGCTGATGAGATAACTCTTATTAATTTGATCCAATTTCACTATGTTTGTCATCCTTTTGAATGTTCAAGATTTTATGATTCTGACGATAATGCCAATTAACCAGATATGCATGGGAATTACGAAACTGTACAATTATTCTTTAAGAATGTAATTTTGATATCTTTCTCTTCTGTAAATTAAACTTTGAAAACATATATGGCTAACATTGCCAGGGCGCAGCTGACGAGAAATTTTATGCACTGATCTTGATTGCTCAAATATTCTATATAACGATAGCGATCTCTAAATGCATACAATATGGAATTAAGGTCTGGGATTTTGCAGTTGATCATAGCTTTGGACAAAAAAGACAATATTATGAGACACTCAAGATAACTACGTTAAAGACAACATAATTTTCATAAATAGACATGTTCTGTATAACTGCATACGTAATACTACAAGGTAGTGTGTTGCCTTTTTTATCTGATTAATTTTCTTGATTACTGAGTGGTCTACTGGTCTTCCTGATGAATCATTACTTGCTTAAGCAGAAACAATATATATCATCCTTGTTGGCATTTCATCTTTCCACTTATCCTAGTCAATAATAGTTCGATATCTATTTTTTTTTCCTGATCACTTTGATGAAATCATCACTTGTTTAATTTGAAGATATTGCAGAAGCTGTTATGGGCATGTGGCCAGGATTCACTTAGTGCAATTGTCAATTGCTTCAAAGCTATACTTGAGTAATCAGCAGAATAGTCTTGAAAATTGAAGCTGGTTTAACAATTCTTGGATATTAATTCGTGCAATAATTACAGGCGAAAATTCCACATGTTTTTCTCGTTGCAAACTTGGTTAAATATCAACCTGAAGAACTTTTTTCTCTCTAGAAGAAGGGATCAAAGGAGTACTAGTCAGAAGATATGAAGATATATTACATACAGTAATCAGTTTTTACTGCCTCAACTCATGCAGCAGGCACATATCGAGAAATCAATGATACCACCTTCTTTTTTTTTTTTTTTTTGCAAAAGTAGCCTCAACATGGGATATGGGAAGAAATTGCTTAAAAATTCAGATTCATTAAATGTTATCTTATAAAAATAAATTTGAACTATTTTTTTAACTAGTAGTGTTTGAAACCTTGAGTAATGGCCAATGAGGGGATGGCTAGCTAGGTACCTTTGAATGCAATATGGGTGAAGAACATTATGAATGTCAAAACAAATTAAAACTCAAGGTTTCTGATAATGAGAAGGACCCCCAGATCCAGGGGAATTGTACATTTGCTCTACATGGATAGATCCTAAAAGTTTGATCGAATAGGTTGGTGTGGGGAAAGGTTGTCCTTGTCCACTAGGTCTGATATATACATTAACGCTAATACCGCTGGTCGGCCATTAACAAGCCATAATCATCTTGTACGACTTCTTTTGATATGACAAAAAGATGTCTCCTCACCTAAGAAGGGATTATAACATATTGCTTCAATCAAACAAATCTGTCTAAATATGGAAAGACTATTACATCTCCTCTAATTTCAATATTAATTATAAAATTTAAGTTTTTAAATTTTTTTTGTTACATCATACAAATAAAATCTTAATACAAGAAAAAGAGAAAGGAAACCTAATTCAAAATTAAATTCTTAATATCTTGTCAAACATTTTTAATTGTTAAACTAAAGGTTCGAAGATAAAATTTTCTAATTGATTTCTTTGCTTTAGGACTAGAATTGGTTTTTTTTTTTTTTTGCTCACTTTTAATTTAAAAGAGAAAGGGTGGTTCTTTTTTTTTTTTTTTTTTTTTTTGAGTTATTGAATATCTCTGTTGTGCTGGACCTTTCCCCTCTTTTGAAGCGACCAGCAGAATCGATTGTAGAATTTTAGTGTTTCGTGCTCATGAAATCTTATCTGTCACATTGAAAATTTTAAGAAATATTTATATGACGTGACCATTAATTTAATTTATTAATTTATACACTCTTAAAAATGTTTTTATTCTTGATTAAAAAAAACTGTAATTGCATTATTGCGGTACATTTTTCATGAATCTTTCTTTGGCATTTTCTTTTGGATCGTCTCTTTCTTGGATTAATTAATAGTTTAATCTCAGATTAATTGACCTTACTTATAAATTCCTATTTATCATCATTTAGCTTTGAACCTACATAATGATGAATAATAAATTCAATCATTTTTGTAGGAAAATATTTTTTTTATTAAAAAAATCGGATTTGAATTTTTAAATGTCATGACATGGATTATTTTACATGTCATGATATGAATTAATTGAATGATTCTAACATTTGAACATTTGATTCAATAATTAACACATGCAGTTGTAGGGTTCAAATCTTCCTTTCTGGAATAAAAATGAAAATTGAATGATTCTATTCATGGATTTGTTATTGTAATTTTTAAAGCAAATTTAGAAAACAAGAAACTTTGAAAACTATTGCGTCATGGGCCCATATTTTGTGGCCCTTTTTCCCTTGAACCCAACTTTAGCTGAATGTATTAAATCTGGCCCGGTGTTTATTCAGTTATCAAAGGATAGCTTGAGCCCATATTGTTCGATTGTAGTCCTAAAAAAAGCCTATAGACAGCCCAAAATGATGCCCAAACCTAAAAAATAACAAAATAAAATACGATAAGAAACTCACATACCCTAAACTAGGGTTTCTCTGTTATATGCGGTAAGAGAGCAGAAAGAAAAAGCCGCCGCCGCCGCTGCCTCTTCTATCATCGCAACCATGGTAACTTTCCCCCTTTTCTTAACTCTCTGTCTGGTTTTTGAGAAAATGTTTGCATGAAAATGCCTTTGATATGTTTGGTTTCTTGATTTCTAGATCATCCCAGAAAAGAACCGCCGCGAGATCTCCAAGTACCTCTTCCAAGGTAGCCAAATAATCAATCCCATCCAGATTTCAATTTTCCCATATTTCATTTAGATCTTTGGATTAAAAATATGGGTTTTATTTTTTTTTCCAGAGGGCGTTTGCTATGCAAAGAAAGATTATAACTTGGCAAAGCACCCAGAAATTGATGTTCCAAATCTTCAAGTAATAAAGCTGATGCAAAGCTTCAAGTCAAAGGAATACGTTCGTGAAACTTTTGCTTGGATGCATTATTACTGGTACCTTACCAATGATGGCATTGAGTTCCTAAGGACTTACCTTAATCTTCCTTCTGAGATTGTTCCCGCTACTTTGAAGAAACAAACTAAGCCTGCCGGTCGTCCCATGGGCCCTCCTGGTGACCGCCCACGGTAATGGTTTTCGTTTTTTTTTTTGGCTCATTGATTTAATAAAAATGATTTTTTTATGTATGGGTTGATGAAATGTACTAGCTTTGTTAATATTTCCGTTGGTTTTGTTGGTTATGAATCAGTGGTCCACCGCGCTTTGGTGACAGTGAGAGAAGATTTGGTGACAGAGATGGCTACCGTGGAGGTCCACGAGGAGGAGGTGATTTTGGTGACAAGGGAGGAGCTCCTGCTGATTATCAGCCTTCATTCAGGGTAATGTTGCTTTGAATAATTTTGGACCTTTTTTTTCCTTTGAACAGATGACATACATTATCTGGACTGTTGCTTGATCTGTTTCTTTGTTATCACCTATCACTTGATTCAAGTGTATTGTTTGTATAGTTTGGTTTGTGTTTATAACGTTTATGGTTTTTACAAGAGTTCTTAGTGCTCTGAGTTTTGGTCAATTTAGGAATCATTTCTTTGCTTTTCGGTGTTTCATGTTCTGTTAAATCAGCTTAATGTTGAATTTGATAAAAAAAAAAATTGCTTTGGAGGTGAGTTGTTGATTCCCGTTAGTGGCGTAACATAAGCTGTGAATGAGTTTCAGTGTCACATGATGCAAATGTTTCTTTCAGCCATTTAATTTCATTTCTCCCTGCCCTTGGACTTTGTGGAAATTGATTTGTGCATAATAGATTGTTGTTATTTCACTTTGAAGAATGCAATTTTCGTATGATTTCTTGAATAATTTTCTCAGTTATTTCTATTTTCAAGAGGCCACCAAATATTGATCGTCATGCATAGGCATCACCATATCAATGAGGTTATTTTTCTTGAAACAGAAAACCTGATATAATTTCTTACTTGTGAACACCCAGGGCCCTGGTACAAGGCCTGCCTTTGGTCGTGGAGGTGGTGGTTATGGTGGTGCTGGAGCCGCAGGCAGTGCAGGTCTTCCTTGAGAGGGATGATTTGTAAAAATAGTTTTGTCGGTTTAGGTTTATTGGCATTTGGAGTTCATAGAAGTACCTGTCATATGCTTCAATCTTTGATAACTTTAGTTGTTTGATGCTTATATAATATTGCTTCTCTTTGGTTCATTTAATGGGAATTTAGAAACAATTTTTTCTTTGGCCTGATCAATATGCACGTTCAGTGGTGTTTATTGCTGCACCAAGCGCTTGAGATATCTATTCTGTTTTTCTCATCTTTTCTGAGCTTTCACTGCACGTACTTTTTGTTATCACTTTGGCATGATTTACACAAATCATGGGATTTAACAACGCGTTTAATATAAGTGAATTGCAAGAAAATCTTTAATTGTTACATCTCCAATAAATAAATATTAAATTGTTAAAATTAAAAAGTCTGATATTGAATTGATTAACTCTGCAAAGTTTGGGACAAAATTGAGCATTTAGCCTTTGTTTGAAATGATATACTCGATCAAACATTGACAGGGCCAGGTTGATATGTAAACATCTCTTAAAGATGCTAAAATGCAAATCTTATCGTATTCTTCACATAAAAGAAATTGATATGGTAACTTCGTTCTTTCACAAATTCTGTAAGAGCATAAATAGATTTAAATGTTGATACTTGGGAATGGGAAGCTGTCTGGAAAATTACAGGCATTCTCTGGTCCTTGATCCGTCAGCAGATTGCACGGCTGAGGGGTAACATCGCTTGAAACCCCGGCAATTTCCGTGCAATCCCATTGAAGCTTCTTTGGCTCTTTTGTTAATCCAATGGTCGCATTGGATATGCAAATTCCTGTAAATGGGTGGCCCGGAATTCCCTCCAGTCTAGCTGCCATGGTCACATTCTCTGCAATAATATCTCGGAAATTGATATTCTGGATAACAGGAATTGCATTAGGATCATAATCATTGTCGGGATGAGAGCCATAATTCCCTGCCATCCAAAAGACCATTTTCATAGTTTTCATAATCATCCCTCTCACATATATGTCTTTGACATAGTTTCCCCTTCCCACAGCGGTTTTGATCCTAACGCCTGACTCTGAATTGATGCCTGTGATGTCTTCTGCCCTAACATCCTCGATCCCACCGGACATCTCACTACCTAGTGCAATCACTGCACTGAATGGAGAAATGCATGTGAGCCGTCTGATCACTAGCTGCTTTGTTGGCATACCAAACTTGATTCCATACTCATCCCAGCCACTCTTAACAGCTACACAATCATCTCCAGAGACAATGTAGCAGTCCTCAATCCGAGTATTTGTGCAAGAGTCTGAACAAAAGCAGGAAGCAAGACAAAACCTTTTAACACTGAATCCGATTATGTAGCAAATATGCTCCAGGTATAAGGTTATCCATCTCTTGCTTCTTTTATAATTAGTTTAGAGTGCATAGCCAGATTCACTGCCCACTTTCTCACCTGGATTGATCCCGTCAGTGTTTGGAGAAGTTACTGGTGCTAGGATTGTTAATCCTTGGACAACAATATTGCTGCATTTTTATTACAGACAATCTTAGAACATAAATACCAACATGCCAACATGCTGAGGAAACTGTAAGCTAGCAAATAAGAGGGGCAAAAACCTGCTGTAAACAGGATGAACGTTCCAGGATGGAGAGTTCATCAATGTGAGATTAGAGATTTGAACTTCATCAGAGTACATGATCTCAATAAGGTAAGGCCTGGTGTATTTCAGCTCTCCCTTGTGGAATTTGTCCCACCAGGTAACACCCTGACCATCAATAGTGCCATTGTCCCCTGAAATATGTTGAAGTCCATATTTAAGTTCTCCTTAATCCTATGATATTATTTTGATAAATCTCGTTGATGATTGACTTCTCGGTACCTGTTATCACAACATCAGTAAGATTGGTTCCAAAAATAAGACTGATATACCTTCCACCTTCTGCATCTCGTCCTCGGCCATAGGACGGTAGAGGGTCAATGACAGCCCATTCACTCACGTCCTAACACAATTTTCAAACACAAAAATAGTAACCAGACTTAGCTGAAAAAGGACAGCATAAACCATTTCATTAAAAATCATTATATTTTCCATAAACTTTTCTTCAAGTAAAATTATAGTCACCATCAAAGAAGTACTGAGATTAAGGTTTTTAGTAATCAGAAGCCACCCAATACTTCCAAGTTTGAAGTTTTGTGGTTGGGCCTCAATGGTCAGAATGAGGGGACCATGACTTAAGCACCTTTGGAAGGTGACTCTTCGAGGCAGGGCCACAATTATCATAGGGCTGAAACTGAACAGTTCAGATCCACAAATCATGATGATTTTTCTTTCCAATTACCTAATAGAACAAAAAAGATCAAATATATACTGCCATTGAGAGTTTCTAACCTGTGAAGCAAGAAGAGTAGCATCCTTGTGGAGATACAAAGTGAAATGGTTGGTAAGATTAAAACTACCAGTCAGCCATTTTCCTGGAGGAACAAAGAGTAAGGATCCGCCATGTGATGCATTCTGGCTCAGGTTATTAATGGCAGCCTGAAAAGCCTTTGTATTTGATGTTACTCCATCACCAACTCCTCCAAAGTCTGTCAATGAGGCAGTGTACTTTCTGCTGCTACCTATAGCCGAGTAGTCAAATGCGTCTAAAACCCTCACCTTTCGGCTTTCAACACCATATAAATTAATCAAAACCAGAACAATTCCAAGTAATACCAAGGTATCAAGAACCTGCAAATTAAGCAAAGGATATGAGAAGGATAGAGAAAAAAGTACATGGGTTTTTATGGTACAGAAACAAAACTGATGAAATTGGGCTTAAAAATGCATCAAGAATGACATTCCAAGCTAAATAAAAACGGAATTAAGGAGAAAATAAGAAACCAACATGGCATAGCTACCAAACAAAATTTTCTTTCGCATGAAAGTTGTTACAATCGGACAGAAGCTTATGCAGATGATGGTATATTAATTATTGACAAGAGATAAACGTAGAGACTGAAACGGAAGAGTTTTTGATTACCTGGTTTCTTCTTGGAGTTGGCCACATTTCCATCAAACTGGAAGATAATGAATATTGTTTTTCGTATGTAGTAGAGGTGTGCTATTAGTTCATATATAAACAAAGGTTCAAAGCATTCAGGAACCTTCAAAAGTAAGCAGTTTGCGGAGAGATCAAAGAAGCAACAAAATTACAATTCAAACCCCCAAATAATTCGGTGAGTTTCTCTCTGCCCCTTCACCAAATTTGACTTTTCCTGCAATGTATGGAGTAATTCACACAGTTTTCATTGTAGAATTCAAACAAGTTTTGACCGTGATGATTTCATTTCCTTTATCCATGAATCTGAGATAGGCTTGGTAACTTGAGCAAGCAGGGTCATTCGAACTATTTTCCTGATTTATACACCATATGTCTATGTCAAATGACGTTTCTGTTCAAAAACAAATATTTCTTTTAGTATTTTTCTGACTATGGAGTCATTGACCTGGAAACCTAACTCTTTTTTTAGACATTTGAGAAAGTTCTAGGGGAAGAAGGGATTTGATTCTTGTGAGTACCGAATTTATAAACAAAATTAATTTGTAAAATCTGCAAGAAATATTGCAACATTTAAAGTGAAATCATACATTGTATTTCTGTTTCAGGATTGGCATTTTGGGATCAAAATTCACACCGCAATCTCACGAAACTAATCAATAATCAATAATCATCAATCATACATTGTATTTCTGTTTCAGGATTGGCATTTTGGGATCAAAATTCACACCGCAATCAAACGAAACTAATCAATAATCATCAATTCTCACATATTCAGGGGTTGATTCAGTTGAAGCTATGATGTATATATTGAAAACATGGAGCATTGAACACAAAATACTCACTATAAAAAGGCATTTCCCACTAGTACACTGGAACTGATATTGGAAACTCCAATATCTCCCAATAGTTTCCTGGTTCACTGAACTACCGTTTGAAAAGCCTATGGGGAGTGCTAGAACAATACCATCAGGCCTGGTTCCATACATAAGAATTTTCATGTGTGGGCACATGGCCTGCAGATTGCAAATGCAGACCATATACCTGCCCTCACAATCATATCTCCCAACTTGTTGGACGATCAAACTATGGAAATGGCTTCCAAAGTAAGATATTGTAATATTTGATTATCTGGGATAATTTGAATTCAAGTTAACAAGAGCAGATTTACCTATACCCAAAATCTCCATCAGAAATTTCCATATTTTTAAAGAAAACACCAATCAATCAAGAGGTTCTATTCATCTTCTGAAAAGAAAAATGGAACGCCAATGAATTTGAGTGATTTCATATGCAATTTTGGCTGACTATGAATATTGTGTGGAATGTGAACATTTGTTTTGATTGTTGGGTCCACAGCTCACAATACATTTTTAGTTTGTCAGAACTCTAATGGCGGCATTTGCCAATACCAACCCGTGAGCATTTCCTTATATCACGCCCCACCTTTTCATTCATTACTCAATTCAATAATTCAAAGTAAATAAAATTCTCATCAATTTTGAATAAGAGCAGAGCTCAACTCATTTAAGAAGAAACATGAACCAGAAGAAGAATTAACTGGGAAAAACTTTTACGTAAGCAACAAAACAAGTTGGAACTAAAATTCCTGTGTTTGGTGGTTGGTTGGTATTGGCTTTTGGTGAACTTGAAGTCATTGAAATAAGCTGAAATTATCCATTTGCATTTACACGATTTTCAACTTGAAGAGTTATTTGCACGATGAGATTCCTCACTTATGTCTTATTTATTTTTTTGAATATTTAAAATTTTTATTTTTTTGACATTAAAAATTATGAAATTTTAATTTTTTTTAAAATTTAATATTAAATACATTAAAATCAACTTTTTTTTTTGTTTGAATTCCGTAAAGATTAATATATGATAAACATTTTGGGACAAAAAAAAAATCTTTTTTAATCGATAACAATAAGCAGTTATCTTTACTTTACAACTTGAAAGGAATTGGTACAGAGGCATTTCACTCCAAGATATATATATTTTTTATGTTTAAAATAATTTCGTTAATTTCGTTTGTTCAGTCCAAAATTATTATTGACAATGAAATAAGTTATATTTACATTTATATTCATATTTATATTTATATATGGAGTGTGTGGTGGATAGAGATATAAATGATACATTAGTACTCGTAAGTTACTTGAGTTCGATTCGAATAAAATTCGAATTTGATTTAATTATTATCGAGTTGAGCTCGAGCTTGAGTAGTTATACTTATCGATCGAGCTGAATTCGAATATTCTTATACCCGGCTCGGATAGTTCACGAGTCTAATCGAGCTTTTATATTTAAATTTTTTTTTTATTTTAATTAATAAAATATCTCGAATTCGAGCTCGAGATCGAATACAAATAATCAAACTTTTATAGAATATAAAAATCGAACTTATTTTAATATATTAATCGAGCTTAATCGAACGAATTTAAATAATTGAATTTCGATCATGAATCAAATTCGAACTAAAAAAATAAAATTCGATCGAGTTCGAATCGAATATCGAATTTCAAATTGAAAGTCAAACTCAAACTCGAACTATATTAATTCAACTCGATTCGATTATACTCCTAATAATAGGTGTCTTGCAAGAAAATAAGAAAACAGGTCATCGATAAAAATGAAAGAACGACCCAATGAATAAATGTGCAAGCAGCGTCCATTTCTCACAAATGTCTTATCGAGGATTTTCATAGGACTAGATTCAACAAATTTCTTTTTGCATGAAACAAGGCTTCTGAAATTTTTTATCCAATTATTGGGCCTCAAAAAGCACACTTTCATTAATGGGCCTAAAGATGCACGATGTTTTAGAGGAATATTTCCTGCCTGCTTCTTTAAAAATGATCGGCCTATACAAAATTTGATCCAATTCACACGACCCAAAAGAATTAATCCCAATTATATTATCTATCGGTTTCATTACAACACTATTTCCATCTAACACTCTCTCTCCATAAGTATTTCATATATATTATTTTTGAATTAATTGGCAGGATTTTGAAATTAGCACTTAACGGGTTGTGGGTTAAAAGGGTTTATATGTGTAATATTTTTTTAATTAAATAAATATAATACATATATAGGGATTCAAGGATAAATTAAAATTTTCAAAAATATATATTTTAATATATTACCAAACATCAATTATTGAAACAAATTTTATTCATTTATTATGATATACATATAAAGATTTTATACTAATATGTAAGATTTAAAATATAATATACAACATAGAAGGATTTTTAATTATTATGTAAGAGGTGGGTAAAAAACGGAGTAAATAATTATTTTTTCTAAAAAATTTCTTGGTAGATTACATTAAAAGTATTATATATATCAGTATAAAATTAAAAAAAAAAATTAAAAGCAACACCAATACCTATTCATTAACTGTTGATCGAGTTTTCTTTTAAATTGTTATAAATAGAACTCAATTTAATGTATGTTATCATCACCTAGCTTAAGGTAATTGAAATTTTGCAATAGAAAAAATCATAAATGAAATAAAGTCTTATTTTCTTTAAAATACTATACGTAAAACAAATGTAAACCATACCCGAAATAATGATCTTATATTAAAAATGAACAAATGATTAAAATGCATTACATATTAAAAAAAAAATTAAGTCTTTCATATATAATTTTTTTATATTATTTGAATTTTTTTTTAATTTTTGGTTCTTCAAAAAGTGGTAATTTATTTTCTTTAATTTCCATAAAAGAATAAGTAATAAAATTATCAATCAAAGAAAACTTCAATCTTGATCAATCCGATTCTCATGCACATCAAAACTACATTCAACAAAACAGGAATAAGAAACAAGAAAAAAAAAAGAACTGAAAAGAAAAGAAATCAAGGTTCTTAGGTGGAAAAAATTAAGCAATTTCTTCAGTTATTGCTATCTATCTTCTTAGAATTCGTTTGTGGATAGGTTGGAAAGCACAAGTTGCATATCAACATATATGATCAGTAATTTTTCATCAATTGCTATGACTACTCATTGGCAGAAAATATATATCCTGTCATGAGCAAAGAATATATATAATGTCAAGTCTAGAAACCATTTGCCTCTCAGACAAAAAGAGTTAATTAAATAAAATCCATTTTAAGCATGACAAAATTACAACGTTGGCACATAAATTAACCGCAATATATGCTAAAATATGAAGAAATTAAGGCATGAACCTAAGTAATTCAACGTTGCCCTAAAAGGGCAGTTCATGAAGTAAAAATGAAAATTGGTATATATAATTAAACACAGCTAGCAAGCTGCCATATTTTCAGCAGATTCAGCACTGATTAGTTAGTTTACTTTATATATGATATATTAACAATGATAATGAAAGTATTAACGAACGAAGAAAGTTTACAATATATCACCTGCTGAAAGATTGATCAAGAACACAAAACCTACAGATAGGAACCAATAATATAAGCATCTATTTCTCATGAATAAAGAAAGAAATTGAAGGCAAAGTATGGGGTTAAATATCTAAACAAAAATCAATTGGTAATAAATGAAAAGGTTTAATTTGAATATAAGATCGGAAAAAATTTAATTCTTAACATTTAAGGCCTCGTGTAAATGAAAATATAAAGAAATCTATCATATGACAAACTTGAAAGAGAAGCAAGAATGTCAAAATAGAACCTAGGCTTTAATATCATGTTAAATATCAAATTGGCAACAAGTGTCTAATTTAAATATAAGATTATAGGAAACTCAATATTTAATAAATATAAGATAATACTATTTTAATAAGCTCTCATCATGTATAAATGGAGATAGAAAGAAATCTATCATGTGACAAACTTAAAAGGGAACTAAGAATAATGGAAGAGAACTTGGGCTCTAATACTATGTTAAATATTCAATCTAAAATTAATTGATTGAAAGTAGAGAGATTCAACTTAAATATAAGATTACAAAAAATTAAATATTTATTAAATGTACGATAACACCACTTTAACATATTAAAGGTTTTTTGTTTATCGTCGAAAGATGACAAAATTTGAACTCAATTCTTTGAGTAGGAAATGCATGCACTAAATAATGAATCAAAAATTCAGCTGCACGGATTGAAGATTTGATTCTCATAAGATAAAGAAAAAATGTGGTAATATGATGGAAAGTTGAGTCCTTATGGAAACTAGTTTCTATAATAACACTGCGAAGAAGATTATTAAAGAAGAAGGAAATTAGATCAGTTCTAACTGCCAGTTAAATTAAGTTACTGTAGATGCTGAAAAAAGTTGCAATTCAACAGGTGGGGCGGGCTGATCTCAAGTTACTAAAATAGGAAAGTGCTTAATTTATTGCTTCCTGATGGCCGCCATGAAAACTAAACTAAGAACATGATCCTATAGATAGTACTATATGATAAACTAGTAGGAATTTATTAGAAAAATTGATCAAACTGAATCATGAACAGACATGCGTTATTGGGGCAGATCCATAAACAATCTCTTCGAGTATTTTTAATTCATAAAATCCTTAGTTTATATATATATATATATATATACACACACACACACACACACACAAGAATTTAGATGGGAACACGGCAAGGGGAGTACTATCAAGAGGAATACATGTCAATATGAAACTCAAAACCAAAATCGGACTTTCCAATTTTGGGTATTGAAAACAAAAGACAAACCTCATTAATTATTGCTGAAAGTTTATACATGAAAAATTCACACATTTACCAGAACTTGAACTTCTGATAACACCATACATTAGACCTATATATTTCTTCATGACTGAAGTCCCTTTTTGACAGAGTTACGAAAGATTAAAACACCATAGTATGCTAATATAATAGAAAGGACCTTGCAAATTCAACACTGATGGGAACTGAATCCCTTATTTAGAAACTGCAGAAGTGCTACTATTTACAACCCACTTATCTGTTATGAATCTTCATTTCCCTTGTTGGAAGCAATCAAGTAATACACTTTAACCTGTAAGAAGGAAGCATCACTTGTCTCCAAACAGGTAGCCCAAAGATGAATCTCCACCAGGAACTGATTTAACTTTTGTTGATGGGCGATCCTGAAATTTCACAACACAGTATTAACCTATTAGGTTAAAAGCTATGCACAGCTAGATGAAATGCGAAGAGGTTTTCAACATATATATGTGGTAATAACTCACAGTTATGAAGTTCCCTGAATTCTGTCCTTGAGCCCTATGATAGTTGTTGGTAACATTTTTCTCTGTCTGTTTCTGTGAACTTAGTTTATTCGGAGCTGGAGGCTTCTCTGGGGTAATATCTATACCATATGGAGGCTGGATCGGTGGTGTTACAGTTGGTGCACTTGGCTGCTCATCAGCACCAAAGAGGTAGCCCAAGGAACTTTGCCCTCCGCCGTAGCTCCCACCTCTTCTCATGGCTGGATCAGTGCTGCAAGATTTAATTAGTTAACAAGTAAATTTCAAAGAAGGGGAAAGAAAGGGAAACAAACCCTAATATATAATGTGTTTAGATCGCGTATGTATGGATGAGCTTATGTATGTATGTATGTATATATGTGTGTGTGTGTGTACATACATGCTATGTCTCTAGATACTGATGATGATAATCCACCATACCTACTTAGGCCAATTATGTACATTAATTAGTAATAAACAGTAAAAAAAAAAACAAACTAAAGAATGGTTCAGTATTGCAAATTGCAATATATAGCTGTGCTGGAGAAGGGAATCCTATGGATTCTTTAGTTTGACCTAGCATCTCTAGGAGAGATGTGTAAATTTAAACATTGATGTTTTATGATCACGTAAATCATGAAAAGCTTATTATATTAATTTATTTCATTATACATGAAAAATTTACAATTACCCATCATGGGCCTAAGTTATAGAGTATGATCTGAATGCCATATGAGAAAAAAAGCTTGATTTGTTTGATAGGTATTTGGATTAATTGGCATTAGATTTTAATTACCATTTGCAGGTTCAAATGAAATTATGGGCGTAATATTTGTTTTAGTCAAATAATTATAAAAAGTAGGTGAACCAAAATAGATTAAAAATTTTTAAAATGCTTGATTTAATTTCAACTAGTATATTGTATTCACCTTCAAAATTGTGCATGAAGTAATTCTGAGATGGTTCTGCATAGTATCTTCCAAGCTGGTGGTGCCTTCTTTCTTCTACCAACCTCTTTAGGGGAGTTAATTAACAACTAATGCTAATTAAGCAATTAAAGAATTGATAAAAGCATTTAAAAAATAATTAATTATATAATAAAAGGGTCCTTAATTAATTATATTAGAATATTTGTGAGTGGAAGATGCGGTGTATTGCAGTAAAAGTTTATGTGACAGAACATATACCCAATAACAACCATACATGCCATGCAAGGCAACACAAAAATGACTCTACAACTGTCCCTCTGCAAGGCAGAAGACATTCAGTTGGTTAAGTGTTCAAATCAGGGTAGGCTATCAGCCATGGAAACCAATATAATAAACCATAATTATTAGGATGATTAGTGGTTGTAGTTCAATATAATGTTGACACGTAATTGACATTTGGAGCCACAGATTATTAATGAGTGGTTAACGTTGGGCCCATTTGCGGCTCGACTGTTGAACCTGAGGCATCTAGCCAGGACTTGCCGATCTCTCTGCAACTTACACAGTCTAATCAACCAATCAAAATCAGCGTACTTAAGGTGACAGACACCTCTCTACTAAAAGAAATATGATTAAGAAAATGTTTGCATTGGGATTTTACTGTAACTTGAGATAAATATGTCATCAATCGTGAATTCATGACACGTTTATGTGACTTAAGCATAAAGCTCATTATTTAAGAGCTAAAGGAGTGTGTAAATGGGGTTAAATCAAGATAATGGGTGACTTTAACAGAGAAAGGGTCTAAGCCAGATTGATTCAAATAAGGTTCGGTGGGAAGGGGGCTTGTAGGCCAAAGGAATCTAGCTTTCTGCTAATGGTTAATTACCATGAATTGCACTAGCAATAAATGAAAGATGATTTGAAATCATTACTATTCATAATACAGTTTCCTTTTAGATAATTTACATCAAACTTAATGAATTTATAAATAACTATTTTTTCATAATTTTTCAATGAATTTGAATCCAAATAATAAAAAATTGAACCAACCATCTATGAAATCGTTTCCTATGCACATAAGGGTAATCCGAGACTATTTCAACCTGTTTAACTACTGCACGAAAGCTGTTTCGTAATGAAAATTGACTAACATTTTATCGTACCATTTCTAAATTTGCATCATTGAAAACTTAGAAAGTTGACAGAGATTGAACTAAGGCATATATCATCAGTTTGTCGAAATCTAGCCAGATATTATCTGTTTCCCATATACCTTTTAACCCATTTGCAGCTGGTAATAGGGAACAAATACATGATGCTTTTGGCCCTTAAAAACTATCTAAATGTCAAGCACTGAATCATGATGACATTGAAAAGCTAGCCTTGAACACTATTATATGCTAAATTTAAAACTAGGAATGAACAATCATAAACTAAAAATATTCCTCATGTTATTGATAATGACATGATCAAGTACTTTGTTGTAATTGACATTCTTAGAATTAAATGATTAAGAGTTTAGACATAGAAGAGAGGAGTTTCAGTTGTCATTTAATACTAATTCTCATATGTCATTTAATTTATTTATCAAATTAAATTATTAATTTTTTAAAATATATTTTAATAAAATATATGATAATTTTTTAATTTCGTTACCCGAATTTAAAAACTTCAAGAAAGGTGTCTAAAATAATTTTTTGATTATAACATTAACTATATACATACACTAATAGCTTCTCATGTTATTATTTATATTAATTACTATAAATTAGAATCTTTAATTGGCTTGTGAGAGACTGAATTTTGGGCTGCGTCAATCTCACCATGTTTTGGTGCGCATCTGTTAAGGCCCATGAACATAGAGAATCAATACTTGATATTTTGGGCTAAGTGCTCACGTGTGGGCCCATTTTTGACATAAACAAAAGATTTTCTGTTGCATTAGGCCATAAGAGGACTTTTTCCTTTGCTTCTACGTGCGTTGAGTAGTCAATTTGATTAACATTATTTTTCCGTGTAATTATTTATATTTTAGAAATGTGATATTAATTATATTTAACTTTAGAATAAATGATGAGAAAAAAAAAACATTATAATTATTTATTAAAAATTAATTTAATAATTTTAAATACAATAATATAATATGAAAATAAAAATTATATATAAATAAATAAATAAAATATTTTATATTTAATATTTTGATATAAAATTATAATTATATAATTTTTATATTATATTTAATATAAATAAATATGATATTAATACACAAGTGATCGATCAACGCTAAAAAAATATAGGTTTTGTTTTTCTGAATCGTCCAGCAACTTCAAGGGCAATCTAAAATGACGATGTTTGTTACTACCCGTGTTAACCATGCCATTTATTCCTAAATCGAGTAATCTTTCTAAACCCATCAAACGGCCCAAAACCGGGAACTAACCATTAAAAGGCCCAGATCAATACACGTAAGCATTTGGTAACCAACAACTGGGAAAATTCTGGATGCTTCACTCGTTGTCTTGATATCAGCATCCAGTCGGAACTAGGAACTCAACAACGTTGTTGGCCTGTTTCAGTCTTTCGATTGCTGCTGTCGAACCAAACACTTTTCCAGGTATGTTTTATCGATAAATTATTTTTACGGATTACTGTAACTTTTTTGTTGACAGGTGTTGATTTTTTTTAGTGTGAAACAGAATTCACATGGAGCTTTTGCAGCCTGAATTTAAAGATTTTGCTGTTTTGATTTTCTGCTTTGATGTCAGCAGTTTCTTGGGTTTTCATGCTTACTTTTAGAATTGAATGAATGGATATTAATTTCGCCTTGTCAAGAATAGGAAAAGCTTGAATCTATGTGATTGTCTGGTTGATCTAAACAGGGCCGTGTGAGCTTTTGCAGCCTGAACTCAAAGATTTGCTGTTTTGATTTTCTGATTTGATGTCAGCGGGTTCTTGGGTTTTCATGCTTACTTTTGGAATTGAATGAATGGATATTAATTTGGCCTTGTCAAGAATTAGAAAAGCTTGAATCTATGTGATTTTCTGGTTGATCTTAAAGATGGCTGAGATTGGTCATTTGGCATTTTTTCTGCCTAAACTCTGCCTATTCCTCTTTTATTTTTCTATAGTTTCCATTAGAATTGAATTGCAGCCTTTTTTTTTTTTAAATAGTCCAAGTGATATTTACGCTTGTTAAGTTTCATTCTTTTGTTAATGTTCTTTGTGTTCTGTTTTTCAGTGCTGTTAGTTTCTTGATATTTGGCTGTTGCTTTCCCCAGAAAAGCAAAAACATAAGATTCTAAATGCGTGGAAGTACTGCATTGTTGCCTGCAACATACAAATTTATAAAACATTATCCTGTTGCTGGATCATGGGGTAATGTCTCCTCTAAATCTTATTAATGGTTTTACTTTGGCTATAAATTTTGGAAGCCGACTCTTGACTCTTCAACAATAACATATCATTGTCACCAGGAACTGTGGCTACTTCAACACCAAGGAAATCGGAGAACAATGATTTTAAGGAAGGAGGGTCCGTCAGTAACGACCAGACTGAGCCGACCGTTGCCTTCAGCAAGCCTCCACCACAGGCACCTCTACTTGGACCATTAGTTGCTCTCACTCTTAGAAACTTGGTCTCGCCGTGATGGTGATGACAAATGACTGGTTTTATGAAGCTATTACTGAATGCCTTTTATGTACGAAAGACTCTGTTGTAAGTGTGTTGACTACCTGATAAAATCTTTGAGATGTAGATAATGATTTTGATTCCGAAGGCAAACAACTAAGACATGAATTCCCAAATTCCAAGGTAGCCTGCCGCTAGTGGCTTTATGAAAGGTGCCAAAAATATAGTATAAATCTTCTGTACGGATTGTAGTATGACATGTGGACTCTTTAGGAACCCTGCAGGATTGAAAGAAATTATAGGGGCATTTCAATACGATGCTAGGAATTTTGTGTATGGTCGAGTTTTAACATGTCAGTTAATTGTTGCATACATTCAGCAGCATGAGGGAGCTCATCAAATATTGTAGCCACATTCTCCAACAGCACCTGAATCGATCCGCATGTTTACCAACAAGATATCAGAACCAAATAATTAGAAACAAGTAGCATAATTGGGCACTTGGATTTGAATCTTCTTGTCTAATTCTAACAGGTTTGAATGGGTTACACAGTATAGTACACAAGGTGTTTACCAGCACAACTCCCCCAGGTTTGATAGGTGACTCGGTAACAATCAGAGCTTTCTTGCACACAAATACATGTCCTGTTAATTCGAATGGACTCTTCTTTCTCGATGAAACACATGACTTAAACAAGTACTATTAATTTTTCCCCTTCTTCCAAGCCGCATCCTATGGTTCAGGGAACCTGCGTCTGTTTCCATTCTGCAATATTAG